CCACAGAAGGATTTTCGGAGCTCATTGGGGAGGATTGCAGGGGCAGACGAGACTTCGCATCCGAATGCAATTTTTCACACCTGCTTTGATAAGGCAGTGAACAATTTTAAAGTGTTGCGGAAATGCGCCTCATCAAGGTTCATGGCGATTGCGGCGCCGTCGCCATCGCGGCTGCCTTTTTTAATGGCAACCGCCAGCAGTTGAAGCCATTAAGCCACTGGCCTTGTGGCCGCTGCAATCATTTGTTTCGTCACGCTTATTCGCCGTGATGTACAGTGGACTCAAATTAGTAAATACTTCGTAAAATATGTTCAGTGTGATTCATGAATGAATCATAAAAAATTCCACTGTGACTTACAATGTTTTGCCATTCACTCTTATTATTAAATAAGTTATTTCTTAAAAAAAGTACATTTATTATTTCAGAAATTAACCCAAACATACTTCATTTGTACAAAGTTGTTCTGAAGAAAATGATGTGCTGTTTTAATATGGCAATTTTCGGAGAGGGAAGTGACTCAACAATGCTAAATATATGATACATTTTGGATAAAAAGTTCGTTCTAAGCTAGTGCATTGACCCCATTGTACAGTGTTTGAAATTTATGGACATAAATAAATTGATATTTGTGTGCCGTTCTATGGAGTTGCCTGCCAACCAGACTGACATGAACAGACTGGCTGTTTATTTACCCTGAACAATTTTATGCTCCACTCGATGCGTGGCAAAATAAATAATCATTAGTGCACAAATCATATTCAAATGAATACATAAATGAAACAAAACACGTTTATTTCACACTGAATTCATCTTGGCCCAGATTTCTTGTCCGTGCACTTTGCGGCATGCGGCTTAAGTGCTTTTTTCGCCCAATCAAATACATTTCTGTAACATTTTGGTCGATGGCGCCCCTCTCGCTGATGAAGGCTGACCTAGTTTTGAGCCCGCTCCCAACAGAACGGTCGCCAAGGAACACGAGAACAACAATATTAACATTTTTATGGACCCAAGGCAACTTTATGCCTCTCATCTACATAGATTACCATGTCTTGCGACTTTCTTGGGCTGTTGACGTACAAGTGATGACGCCAGCTGAATGAATGGTGCCTTCAGCTGTATTTCGAACAGAAAAGTTGACCTATTCAATATTTGGTTTATTTTTAAACAATCTCACATGAGTTCGTGTCTCCCTGTTCAACTCCGGGGCAATTTGTATAAATTGTTGTACTTGAAATAGACAACACACAAAATTATAAGTTTTAACTGACTATTCATTCGCAACAATCCACAGTCATCCAATGACGTATTCATAATAGTTTGGGCGTTCCTTGAATGGTTAAGCAACTGTTCCCACTGAGCCGTTTACAAAGTTTGCTGCTGAGAAACTTTCTCAAATAACTATACAGACAATGTACTATTGTTTTATTAGTGTTGTGTTTTATTGTGTTGGTTATCAAATAATAAAATAAGAGTAAATAATTTCTCAGCAAAAAAGGTCACTAAAAAAACAGGGTTTGTACAAAAATATATACGAAGGATTATCTCTGTAATAAAAAGTATAATTGTATTGCCAATTCGTAGGTGACAAATATAAAAGAAGACATACAAGATGCGTTCGAAAGTAAACAGGACTTTTTGAATCTAGCGCCTCCTTGTGGCGTTATCTATATGTCGATATGGTGCGTTAGAATCTGCTATCGTTATCGATTGTCCAGTGAGAACTTCATGACATTTAGTCGTTTGGAAGTGAAGTTATTGCGTTTTAAGTGTCAGTATGTTTCTGTTATCGGTGCGAAAATGAGCTTCGAACAAAGAGCCAACATTAAATTTTGTTTTAAAATTGGTAAAACTTTTACCGAAACGTTTCAATTGATGGAACAAGTTTATGGCGATGATTGCCTATCCCGTAGCAGAGTGCACGAGTGGTTTCAACGTTTTCAAAGTGGTCGTGAGGACATAAATGACGATCAACATGTGGGCCAATCAAAATTCGTGATCACCGAAAATTCCATCGAAACTGTGCGTGAATTCATCAAAAATCAGCGAAATCATCATTGAAATTGATGGAAATGGAATTGAACATCTCCAAAACATCGATTTATCGCGTTTTGACTGAATATTTGGGCTTACAAAAGATGTGTGCACGGTTTGTTCCGCACAAATTGACTGACGAACAAAAATTGCCCTCATCGATCGACGTTTGTGACCGATTATTTAACCAAAAATCACATTTTAACCATTAACCACTCGCCTTATTCACCTGATATGGCACCGTGTGACTTCTACCTTTTCGGAAAAATGCCTTTGCCCATGAAAGGAAAGCGTTATGCAGACGTAGAGGCCATTTAAAGGCTTGCACCGGCATACTGACGGCCATACCGGCCTACGAGCTAAAACACTCGTTCGACATGCGTTTGGATCGTGCAAAAAGCTGTATTGAAGCAGAATGAGTCTATTTTGAATAAAATAAATTGATTTTGCCGAAAAACTATTTGTTCTGTTTTTTTTTTTTTAAAGTTTACTTTGTTTACGTTGGAACACACCTTGTACAAGTGCTGATTAATATGGCTTCAAAGTAGAGCTGCACAGTGAAAGGTGTTCGAAAATTAAGCTTACACAGAAAGGATACCTGTTAAAAAAATTATAGCCTGTTGTTTGAAGGATTATGACAACATACTTAATAATGCGAAGAAGTACTTAAAAATACATACATCGTACATACGATGTTTCCTACTGATTGTGTATCGTCTGTAATTTGGAAAAGCTGGCTAACGCAAATATGGATATCATCTAAAACATCATAAACAGCTTTTTTAAATTACAATATATAAATAATGGAAACCAAATGGTGTATACACAAGAACTATAAAAACAATAAATCAATATTCCATCTGTAATTCTACAAATATTTACCTAGGCAAGTGGAATAGTAACTGGTGTTGATGTTACTTAGTAACTGTGTCGATGGTAGCGAGATTTAAAGTGTAGTTTTCCAACGAATTCCTCGTCATCAACGTTTGCAGTGCGGCGTGTCTACTCTTATTCAAGATTCAATTTTTATTTGTAATTGGTTGTGATATCTACACCATTATCGTGGCCGATATGATCAAAAATTTAATGCTGAAGTGACAGTATTGTTTAAACACATATATATTACACACATATAGTATATGCAAAGAAGTCTTACGTCAACGATTGATGTGCTTAATTTCATTAAGTTAGAGTAGCAATTAATTGAACTAATGAATGGGCCGCCTCGCCACATGGCGTATGGGCAATGTTTTTGTCGTCGAGCGCTGGAAATGCCACTCTTGGCAAATGCTCTGAACTTCCATGTAGCTTAACAAACAGTTTGGTTTGCTTATGTATCTTGGCCACTGCTGCTGCTGGTTTAAATATTAAAAAACTTTGGCTCGGTCGGTGAGCCAAAAGTTTTGTTGTGTAAGAACCAGAGAACATTTTAGACACTTTCTTTGCATTTGCATACAAGTAGCGTCGAAACGAGCGCCAGCAACACAACCATCAGAAACAACTACAGCAAATGAGAAATGCGCCCTAGTGACGCATTTATTTATGGGCCTAAGTAGCTTGCGTGTGGGCCAAATGCTTGTGTGCCAAATTTAGCTTTTCCTTTTCTGTTTCGATTATCAAAATAATTACGCGCCCAAGGCTGGCTCAGCAAAGTAGAAACGCAAGCACTGGCAATTATTGTATAATAACATTAAGTACGAGCATATAACAACATATTGTGCCATAAGCATAACCACAACTGAGTCGAGCAGTGGAGCGGGAGGTGCAGATATAGAAGTTGAATTACCTTTGGTGGCCCTTTCATTGGGTTAAGAGCCACAGGCACAAGGCTGGCCAAATGTTGCAGCTGCTGCCTGACAGTCAGCCCTGACATTTAACTGTGCTGGCCCGTTGCCCATCGACCGCTCTAAAACGTAAAATAAAAAGAACTGAAGCGCTTTGCTTTGCGGATGGCCTGAAATTACCTTGTAAAACTTTCATGACTACAGCAGATTTATCAGCGGGGCGCCACGACTGACTAATTGCGCTGTGCTCGACACCGCCCCATTGAATCCAATGAGCCATGCTTGCCAATTAAAAATGCACATCGCCCACCGCGCCCTTTAGGCCCGACTATCTTCCTTCACAGTCATTGTGCAATGGCTTAATGCGAGCGCGCTCAAAAAATGAAAAAGAAAAAAAAAAAACGCCACTGTCCAGTAACCAGTTGCCAAGAACTCGTACTATATATAGTATACTTGTAGTAGTATAGTAGCCAGTGACCATTTGTATAGTTGGGCGCCTGCTTGGGTATGCGAGTTCAATCGTTGAAATCGTTCCGGTTAGTGTGGGTGACAATTTGGCATGCGTTTGATTTATGCGCCTGCAGATGCGACAAATGTGCGGATTGCCGCACTGGCGGGTCTCCAAGTTGGGGCTGCTCCATTAACCACAATTTAGCCGCAATCGTAAAATCTACAAATATAAATAGGATTCAACAAATTTAAGCGGTGTTAAGGATGACGTTACCAATTGAACTGCAAGTTTATAAAACATTAAAAATTACCAAATTCCTAATAACTCCAAATCGACGCTTCTTCTGAATCTCTTAAAATCGATTTACGGGCAGTTTAATTGTTAGTTTCTTCTGTATATGTTTGCTGAGATTTCTCTCTGACAAGAACCAATAAGTACTGGTTGTCGTTTATGTTGCCCTTGATCCAGATATTGCTGGGTCTATATAATTTGTACAATTTAAAAACATATTTTTTATGACTTCTCCCAGCTGTACTGTTTACTTATAAAAGGCTCTGCAATCCATTATTCCTATAATCACAGGCAAACATTGGGTTACAGGAATAATGAGGACCAACACCTAATAGTTTTAATCGTTGTGCCCAAGAATGTATGCAACTGCTTAAGATCATTAGGTGTTAAGTTCGATTAAATTAAATTAATGCTTAAATAAATGTCTTTCTCTTTGTTGCAGGTCGTACTCGTATTTATACTCAGCATCGCATCCCTCATTATATACTTTGTTGATGCATCTAGCGAAGAAGTCGAAAGATGCCAAAAATGGAGTAATAACATTACTCAACAGATCGATCTCGCATTCAATATATTTTTTATGGTTTACTTTTTTATACGAGTAAGTTGCACAGTCACAAGCACACACCAAGTAACACCAACGACAACTTACAGTTTATGATTTACAACTAACATTTACAAAAAAACAACAATAACAATTTTATTGGCTATGCTAATTTGTGTATTTATGTTTCTGAAATTCTTAAACATTATTTTGTTTACTTTTTTACCAAAAATCTTTTGCAGTTCATAGCGGCGTCCGATAAGCTTTGGTTTATGTTAGAAATGTACAGTTTTGTAGATTATTTTACAATACCCCCGTCCTTCGTATCAATATATTTAGATCGAACATGGATCGGTAAGCGCAACAACCCTAAATTAAAAATCAAATCAAATTCTAAACACAATGCATACAAATCGGTTGAATATATTGAACATAATTTCCAGCACACCTATCATATACATGTAAATATAGATATGTATATATGTCTTATACATACAAACGAGTATGTAGTACCCAATTATACAGATACAGAAACACAGCCAGAATCGTACTCAGTTGAACTCGTGGTGGTCGATTTGTATGCATGCAATGTGCTTTACTCCATATATGTGTATAAAAGTGAAAATGAACAGACATTCGAATCAATGCGGCCACTATATATTTATCATATCATCATATCAAACAGGTCTTCGATTTCTTCGAGCGCTACGTCTCATGACTGTTCCAGATATTTTACAATATTTAAACGTACTAAAAACATCGAGCTCGATACGCCTGGCTCAACTTGTATCAATTTTTATATCCGTGTGGTTAACTGCAGCGGGCATTATACATCTGGTATGTAGACACACACATCCACTCACACTCACACTCACACTCATACAGACACACCCAACACTATTGAAAATACAAATTATGATGGCGGCGCGTGGGCAGTGCGACCCTTTTGGGGGGCTTTCTGTTCCAGCAATGCGACGTGCGCTCCAGCCAGAGTGAAGTAAAAAGGACGCATTGCGCATACGCCACGTTGCATGCTGCCACAGAATGCTTGGCCAGCAGCGGCCCCTGCTTCTGCTTCTGCTCCTGCTTCAGCTACGCCTGCGCACGCGCCTTCAACATTCCATTTCGTGTCCAATAGCATAGAGAAATGTGCAAGTTGATCTGTAGCTTATGCATGTTTGTTTGCAATTGAAAATTGCAATTGCATTTACTTAAAATTTAGCTGGAGAACTCTGGCGATCCGCTGGATTTTAATAATGCTCATCGTTTATCCTATTGGACCTGTGTCTATTTCCTAATTGTGACCATGTCAACGGTAGGATATGGTGACGTTTACTGTGAGACTGTCTTAGGAAGAACATTTCTCGTGTTCTTTCTGCTCGTCGGCTTGGTAAGTTTTTGCACTACGCACATATAAACACATCCACACAAATATACACTCACACACTGAAATACACGTTTAAGAACCGAAATAAAAATACTACAAAGTCTTCTTTTAGTTTCCGTCTACGATAAATACTTATTATAAGACGTTGTTTCCCCCTCTCTTCCTCTGAGTCTGAGTCTGATTCTGAATCTGAACCTGTGTCACCGGTGCAAGAGAACGTCCAATGAGTTTAGGTCAAGCAAGCAACGAGCTGTCGCGGGGTTGGGTTGGAAGTGCTTAAGTGTGTGAATGATATCTATATATAGTTTTGATTACCGCCTAACTATCCAACTATCTAACTAGAAAAGTTGTACTCAAAACTAGCTTAGATTACGTACCGAGCGTAGCACTATTATTGCCTACTCGTAACTCGAGAACTAGTTGTAACAACAGTTGCAGTTGCAGTTCCCGTTGCCGTTACCGTTACCATTACCGTTGCCCTTAAACGACCTGTACAACCTGTGCCATGTGTTAACCAACTTATAGCCACAACTTCAATATACTCTTTACTCGATAGATATACAATTTTATTTCCTATTACTTATACATATATGAAACGTATTTAAAACCGAATACCAAAAGCTACGTTTATGTAAATACATAGAATGATATTACTATACGTATGTATAAGCGCTGCACCTTTTTTATTATAAAACCCGTTTTCTTTGAGACTCATTATGCCAGTTTTGTTCTTTGCGATCATCCAAGTTTTTGGTTGATTTTTCTCACCCATGCTTTCGATTTGGCTCCGTTAACGGGCTATTTACCAATTGCATTTAATTTTGCGCATAACGGTAAATATTACTAGTCTCACCCATACAGACAACGACACCCACACCCACACTTACTTACTTGTATACACAGGTGGCCAAGCAGCTACATACTACAAGTATACTCGTCTTAGTTGAGTTTTATTTTCACGCTGCTCCTCATTCGATTCGATTGCGAACAAAACATTTGCATGCCGTTGTCCCTTTTTTTCAATGCCAAACATTTTCAGTTTGAGTTTTCAATTCTGCCTTTGGTTCTGTTACGGTCAAATAGTAGAAATAAAACACACACTCACACACATGCAGAACACACAACGAACACTTACACCAAGACACTGCGCCAGTGATAGGGAAACCCCCGTTTAGGTGTGTGCTAAAGCTGCCCGCCCTCACTTGGTTAATTTTTGTTGTTGCTAGCAAGCCTGAAATATATTCAATGTTACTACCAGCTCGTATCTTACATACTATACATACAAGTACAGTATAAACGTAAACGAGACTTTTTATTATTTGCATGATACATATATAATGCTGGCTGCCGCATATACCTATACTCGTACTTTTATTCACCAAACGCTTTTAGGATTAACTCGTTAAGAACTACCAGTAACCAGTAACCAGTAGCCCGTGTGACTGTCCTTTGGCGTTCAGAGCCGTTATGCACTTAAACGTTTAAGGTTTAAGAAAAGAGGGAATTGGAATGGGCACCTATCGTGCCAAGCTAGCTAGGAGTAGGGCACATCAACAACAACCACCATATATTTACATGTTAACTATTGCATAACAATTTGATAATCTTGCTGTTATTGTATATGTGTATGAAATATTTTAGGCAATGTTTGCCAGCAGTATACCGGAGATAATTGAACTCGTCGGTAGTGGCAATAAGTATGGCGGTGAACTCAAAAGAGAACACGGAAAGAGGTAGTCTATAACAATCCACTTACAAAATCATTAAGCTTTATGTACGATAACTTAAAAAAAAAAACAACAAAAAACATTTGATCATACAAAAATGAAATAACTGTAATATAAAGTAAAAACTAATTTAAAGTAAAGTCAAAAACAACCACAAAACAACAACAAGTTGTCGCAGCCCAACTTCCTTCTGATTTGTATATCTCTCTCTCTCTTCAATGTAAATACTCGAAGCTTTCGAGCATACAACTACATATTTCCTATTTAACACTCAGTTCTATATTTACCTGAGTAGTACTTTCTAAGTCACGTTCCTCAGCTGCAGCAAAGGATTATTTTGATCCAAACTCCTCGATGTGTATTTTACACAGCACCCCGCAACAACTTTCGAATCCAATGAACACCCCATTCAATGGGAAATACCTACTACATGTAATTAGCTACAAAAAAACATACATACCAAAACTACCAATACCTAGCATATATATGATGTATATATATATATGTATATATACAAACATATATGTAATGATTAGTGATGTATAGCCAAATCGATTCTCGATTTTCGATTCTCTTGATTACAAAATTAGTCTGTTACCCTTAAAATGTTACTTTTTGTTTTTGTCATTTACCCGAGTTGTACACCGAATTGTAATTTTTGTAACCAGCATTCGATTTTGACTATCAAGTAATCGTATCTTTGAACACACATTTTAAGTAGTTGCAGTTGCAGTTGATACTGAGAGAAGTGTCACAAATTGTCTGCATTTTTTTTTTTTTGTTAAAATAACTACTCTTACAATAAACATGACATTTGTGAACATGGCGTGACTGCTGTGATAAATCATAACAAATAATAACTACAATTTAAGTAATTTTTTCGATTACTTTGTTAAAACATGGTTTGATTTTCTGTTTCCGTTTTTATTTATAATAATTTTGCGTTCCCAGACAGACTAAAATTTTTAGTTCATTATGTTTTGGTGTTCAGAAAAGTGAGACACAGATAAGTCATTTAGTTTAAACATTCAAGTTTATCCGAACTCCATCAGGGATCTTGTTCTGTTTTTTTGATTTTGATTCTTTCTCTTTTGTTTTTCTTCTTTGCTTTTTCATAAAATACGTTGGTAATTTGTGCCATTAATCACTCAGTAGGCGTGTGTTATAAAAAACATGAAACATTTGATCAAATTTGTTGAACAAATCGCTTTTTCCCTTTCGTACACCTTCTTCGTTTTTATTTCTTGCCATGCTTTAAACGTTATTCCGTATTAACACAAAATTTAATATAAATATGCGTTTATTCATTTTGAATAGTTAAAGGTTCGTTTTGATATCCTAAAGCATATGTGCAAAATATTTAGGCGCATTGTTCTAAACACACACCAAAAGCATCGGTCACGCATTGCCAAGTAAAAATTGCAAGTCGAAGTATACATAACTATTGTTTTCGTTCGAAGAGAGCAAGCAAAACATAATTTTACCCACAATATTATCATTGTTTTTATCAATATTAAGTTCACCTACACACACTTTTATGTCTCAGCCTCACGATAACATTTACAAATTTGAATACACTTTTAGTCCAATGTTCATTAGATATGATCAATCTAAAACAACACTTTCCGAAAAGCTGAATTTTTAGCTACAAGTAATAATGAGCATAAGCAGGAAATTGTGTCTGGTAAAGGGTTTGACGACTATTTACTGATTGCGCTGATTTTATAGGAAATTTCGAAATGTACATTTATATTTGAATATGTAGCACGTTTCAATCCTTGGGATCTGTTTAAAAACTTAAGCACAGCACCTATTCAACTATTCATACAAAGAGCGTAAGTGATCCTTAAATATAGTTGTGCAAGTGACAGAAAACAGACCGGAAAACACGGACCGCAATACAAATAATTTGAATTAATTAATGGACCAAAATCTGAACAGATATTCTGCGCTTTAAAAGACAATCTCAAGACAAATCAATAAATATGCGATAAAAATCTATATCTGCTACAGACAGGAAGTTGACCCATTTCAAAACCAGCTTATTTTTAAAAATAACATGTTAATGTCTTTTTTAAACATAGAAGCTAACAGTTTTTGTCGATTTTTAGAGTTAATTGTTAAACGATATCGTTTGAATGTTTAACTCTGTGCACGAAATGTTTTTCACCTTCGGAAATTGTTTTTGCACTTCGGCTGCCCGAAGCATTCAATTGTATTTTTGTTATCATGCCATTTACGCATTTCAGCGTAACAAATGTCAGCATCATATCTATTGAATTCCTAGGATTGTAAAGTACGGCAAATCAACTAATTACAACCACATACTTAACATCTAGTTCACCACCTTAAAGTACCGCCCGCCCTATTTGTACAAAGAATATTCTCACGACATTTTGTTTATCTAAAAAGAAGCTAACTGTACTGCCTAAGACTGATGAGTACTCGTAATCCTGTGATCCTAGCCGAGAGCTGCCTGTACGTACGAAGTATTCCTAGGCAGAAACAGCGGCCGTAAGCGCACTCACTGGTTAATTGTAAACTAAAAAACTGTAAATTATTAGACGTACTCGTATACAAGTACAGTAAACACATACTACTACATAGCAGCGGTATCTTACACCTGAAACTCCTAACAAAGTCCAACTCTGTAAAATAATGTACAACTAGCTAAGTATTGTGAGTGTCTGTGTGCGAGTGTGCGATGAAAGAGCGAGTGCCTGACTGAGACCGAGTGAGTGTGTCAGTTGTCAATTGTATATAAATACTATACATAAGTATACTCGTATATGTATGCAAGCACCGTGTGTCTGTGTTCGTAGATGTACAAATGACAGTTCGTGCCTGTGCGAGTGTGCGGGGGTGCGGGGGAAGAAGTTCGGTACGGGCGCCTATTCCATGCACTGTTCACGTCGTGCAACTAATCCGCATCGTCAGCCAGCGTCAACGTCGTATTCCTAAAGTGTAACTCGTCGCCGCATTTACCCGACAATTGTAAACACACACCCCACCCATTCCTCAAAAAACAAAAGAATAAGACCCGTCTTGGCACAGCTCTTTTCTAAATGTGTATGTGTGTTGTTGAATCTAGGCTGTGTTCGCTAGTTGGATACCAGAAATCACTGAACTGGCTGCCCAAAGAAGCAAATATGGTGGAACATATAGCAAGGATCCTAGAAAAAGGTACACAAAATGTTGCTGGCTGTACCCACTAAAAACAAATTATGAATTATGAAAAAAAATATGAAAATGCAAATGCAAATACAACAAGACAAACACAACAATGATCAATTACCCAATAAAAGTATATAAAGCAACAAAACACCGCAGCAATCGAAATAACTTGAATTGTTTATTTTTATTCTACATTTTACTAAACTCCAGCAAAAAAAGAACATGCAATATTTTGTTAGTAACGTTATTAATTTTCATTTCTAATTATTCTGTTACTTTATTCATTTATTTCCTTTCTCTGGCGTCACGTGAAATTGCATAAAAATGCTCAAACATTTATTTTCAACATTTGCCCAACAACTGCGCATGGCCAGAAACAGCAAACAACAAACAGACAAACAGACAAACAAACAACAACAACAAAAACAAATCACACAATTGAAAATAAAAATTTGCAAGCGGTTTCCAATATTTTTCAAAACGTACGTTTTTATTGTTTTCATCAAGAGGCAAGTGTATTACGACGAAATTACATCCAAAAAAGGCATTGGTTTCTTGGCGGCATGTGTTGTAATACTATATATGTACTGATATCAGTATAACACCAAATTAATTGTAAAGTCAAGCAAGCAAAGAGAGAGAAAATTACCAAAAACTCACACACATACTCGTATTTTGGCGCAACTACTTACTATAAACTAACCTGAAAATAAGCTAAAGCTAAAATCCGTAATTTGACTCTCAAATCCTTCTGTAAAGTTAATTGTTGTTTCATAAGCAAGTATAATATAATTATTTAATACATACAGTTACAGTACATACGAGTTACATACTCTCGTACATACATACATGCCTACTTAGTATACCTATATATGCATATTTCCTTTCAAACTTGGCTTCATATTTGTGCGTTTCATTAGAGAGACGAGAAGAAAAAAAAACACTGACATGAAATAAAATCGGGTGCGCAAAAAAAGCAGCAAGCAAATTTTGACTTTTTCCTTTTTCCCTCTGTGTCTAGTTCTTAAGCTACATTTTTTAATTGTTTCATTCACAACTAATTACAAGCTAAAAATTGCAGCAAGAGCAGCATGAACGCCAGAGGCTTAGACTTGACCTCTTTGTTTTCCAAAAAGGATAGCTCTGTCCTTCTCTTTGCGCATGATCTCCTCAACTTGTTGTTATCTTTAATTGAAATCCCACCTGTGTTTACACTCCAACTTGTAGCTTTAGGCACATACAGTTAAGCAGCAATCCGTTGCCTAGCTAAGAAGTTTAGAGCAACCGATTAATTTTAAATTTGATCTACCGTTGAAGAATATAAGTGAGGAAGTCTAGTTTAGATGGAGCGCAAAAGAGTTCTTTTAATATATATTTATTTTTCAATAGGTCTTAATTAAAAACAAATGTTTACTATGCTTACAATTTAATTTGTTTTATAGATTTTTAAAATTAAAACAACACATTCATAAAATATAAGGTGTCCATTTTTTTTTTTGCTCTGTTATTGAATAAATATATAATTAAGATAAAGGACCAAATTTGTCCTACCTTATGTAGAGCCAATGTATAGTAAGTTTCAGGATTTTTTAATTTCGCGTTTTTAGGACTTAGCATCTCATTTTAATTTTTCGTATTCTAAACCCTTGAGAGGAAGAGGAAGAGAGAATTAAAATTAAACAAAGCATACTTTTGAGAGTTTTCTTTTATTTCAAAATTTCCAATAAATAGTTTGAGGATATGGGGCTTTAAAAATAGGCAAAAATTGAAAAGCAAAGCATGCAAAAACTGCTTAAAGAACGGACACAGAGCTTCTTTATGTTTTACTATTA